AACTGAAACAATGAATGTAGTCCTGTAAATTTTATGAGCATTCCATTGCTTTTCGTCATCTTGCACAACCGCCTTGGAGGGTTATCTGGTTGGCCTATTCAGACTGCTCCATGCTTGTGGCGGCTCCCCTGTCCACTGCTAGGGCTTAGGTGTGTTTGTTGGTCTGGAATCTTCTATCTTCCTCCAGCATCACAGCCTAGAGGCAGGCCACCTGCTGGTTAGGCTTGCTTGGCAGCTGTCTGCTTGAGATTTTCAGATTTCATCACCATTGGCCTGTTGGTTCTCCTCCTCCTCTTGGGTGTCTGAGTCTCTGCTTCCTATTCTCATGCTTTCTTTGCTTTGCTTTTTTCTTTTCCTTCCTCGCTTCTTTTCTTAATTTGCTCTTCCATTTTAGTTTCTGAAGTGTCTAAAAATGTGTTGTTTTGTTCTTGTAAGAGGGAGGGAAGAGACACAGAGACGGCGGGTGGAGATGCTTTTATTTTACCCTTACACTCAGATGATGATTTGGCCAAGTGAGGAATTCTAGATAAAAAATCGTTTTCATTGGGAATTGTAAAGGAATTTTAGCCAGCAGCCAGCAAAACCATTCTGATGCTAGTCCTGTGTTTATACCTTGTTTTTCCCATTTGCAAGTTTTCAAATGCTGTCTGTCCCCTGTGGTATGAAATTTCAAGTCTGTTTGGCCTTACTGCTTATTCTCAGTGTGTGGGTCCCAACACCAAGGCATTATTTGATGTTTATCTGTGAGTCAGTTTCCCTTTCTGACCACATTTTTTAAGTTTACAGATAAAATTGTATGCATTTATTGTGTATGACCCATTGCTCTGCAGTATCTGTAACCTGTGGAATAGTTAAACCTAGCCAGTTAGCACATGCACTGTCTTACAGGCCTCTGCAGTAAGAACTTGCATTCACTCTTTGCATTTTTTACAAATACAGTTTATGATTGCTAACTGTAATCACCATGCTATTCAGTAAGTCTCTACAACTATTCCTGCTATCTGACTGTAACTATATGGAAGGTCTTTCAAAAGCTCATGGGAAAATGCAGGTTATGCTTGAATTCCACTTTCCCGTGAATGTTTGAAAGCCTCTTCATGTTTCCTTTGACCAACATCCTCTCGTTCCCCCTTTCTAACCATCCCAGCCACCGGAGGCCACCATATAGTCTCAGCTTTTCTGTCATCAACTGTTTTAGATTTAACATACAAGTGGGATTATATAGCATGCACATTTGTCTTTCTGTGCCTGGCCTATTCTGCTTAAGATAATGTCCTCCACATTCATCTGTGTTTTTGCAAATAACACACTTTTGTTCTCTATTGGGGCTGAATAAGTATTTTACCCATGTGTGTACCACCTTTTCTGCTGTAGTTTTGTTTGTTCAACCTGGTAACCCTCTACCAGTGCCTAATTACAGTCAACCAGCAAAGTGGGGGTGGCCTAGGAGTCCACTCACAGCAGTGATTTATCAGGGCTGAATGAAGTACCCTAGTTTCATTTCTGGCAGTCGCTTTAGCTTTGCAAGGAATCTGGACAGGGGAGAAACGGGTTGTTCTGTCTGGGTGGCAGCCTCCCACCCGTAGCTATGTTGCCCAGGGCGGATCAGATTCGGGAGGAAGGCAGGTGTCACTAACCTAGAACACAGTCCCTGCCTTGGTTCCTCCCCATGTTACTAGTGTGTAAAGGCGGTTGCCACACAAGAAGACTACATAGACAACAGCAAAATAACCCTGTCTCACCCTGCAGCCCGCATTACTCCTGGGAGTGAGACCTCCGGACTCACTTGAGACACCTGCCTGAAGCCCCTTGGTGGGGCACAGCTGTCTAGGTGCCCCTGAGAACAGTCGTAGCATGTGCCTGGTCCCAGCAGCAGGTCTTTGGTGAGCCCTGGATGGGCCCCAAGAAGCAGATATTGTGTCTTGAATGTAGTTCCAGACAATTGGGCCCCAGGTATTTGTAATCCAAGGATGTGACTCCACTTTCTCAAGTTCTGTCTTCTGGTTTCACATAAACTCTAGTCTTTATCAGGATCTGATACATTTACGTGAAATGACTAGATCTGTGTAACCTTCTGGTATTTCTCTGGGTTTGTGTCCTTTGGCCAAGCAGATTTCTCCAGAATTCTCCAGAAACCTCCACGTGCCTAAGGACGGACACACACACACACACACACACACACACACACACACACACACACACCCTGCCCCTGAGTAGGGAGGTAGGCTCAGCAGACTGTGCTTGCTTGTATCAGCTTCTGTTGCTTTTTGCAGAGGGCAATCAGGGAAATGCACAGTTTTAGCCATAAATTTTTAAAAATGCAGACACTGTCCCGTGGCAATTCTGTTTAACATCTGTAGGCTTGGGGATCTGACCCCCAACTTATCACGATTTTTTAGGCTTCCACTTACACTCTGTTCCATTCTTATTGAAAATTGGTGCCTTCTTAGAAGCGAATGTGTTATATGAAATAATGTAATTAGTTTTTACACATTATAGATGCCCTGAAAACATTATTTTGTACACAAAAACGAAGCCTCAAAATTTGGATCATATGAAAAAGGAGTCCTGGAGATGTAGATTTTGTCAGATTTCGGTTTTTAACCCAAAAGAGAATTATTTTGTGTATCATTAGGTTTGGTTCTGAATCTCTTGACGGTTTCCACACCCAGACTTTTGCCCTGCAGGTCTCAGGTCAATCTAAGAGGCTGTCAGGAAAGGCTGCTGCGGGAGACAGGAGAGATTGCATTGCGTGTGTGCTTGTGTGTGCGTGAACACAATACGTGCTGTGTAGGTTCTGTGGTCAAATTCCATGTTGGAAATTGTGAGGACAGGATTTGTGTAGGGATTGGGAGAGGCCTCCCGGCGCACTTGGAGTTCTTGTTCTCATAGTAGCGTGCCGTTAGAGGGCAGTATTGTCGAGGTTAAGTTTTTCTTTCACGTATTGCATTGCGATGCAAACTGTGTTTTACCATGGTCAAGTAAAGGTCAGGGCTTACATGCATATTATATCAAACTGTAAACTTAATTGATGCCTCTAAAATAATGGAGGAAAGTTTGTAAGCGGGGAATCTCTTGATTTTTGCCTTGAAGAAGGAAAACACGTGGTCTGTGTGACCCTAGGATGAAATAGAAGTAAGCCTGCAGAGTCTGGGCTATTTAGCCGATTCAGGACACGGGGAGTGGGCAAAGGGATCAACCTGAAGGAGTTTGTGTGTTTTCGATGTGTTCTTTGCAACATTCCAATCCTTATGAAGGCTCACAGCATTGAGTCTTAGAGGCATTGTCTGCTTAATTTCCAAAAGCGTGCCTTAAGGACTTACTGAAAATAGCTCTATGTAATATTCAGCCCGTGGGTTGACTTTTCTAGCTGTAAAATGGAAGAAGGCATACATAGTTAATCACTGGTGAGAAAGCATTGTTAGGGATATGCACTCTATGATTTATATGGTCCTAGGGACAGAAGGAAGATCGACTGGACTCCATCTGGTGGATTCGGTTTTGGCTCTATTTTTGTATGCCTAGCAGAGAACACACACACACACACACACACACACACACACACACACACGTTTTGTTTTGATAAAGGTAGTATCTGAAAAAAGCAAACACAATGTTCCCCTCTAAAAATTCACTGGCATTTCAAAAATATATACTGTTGCAATACAGTTCTTATCCTGATAAATAAAACCGTCTAGAAAAATCCTCCCATTGCTGTTGCCTGTGAGAACTAGATAAATCGAAATCGAGACACTCCAAGCTCCTCCAAGTCTTTGAAGCAGGAAGGACTGAGCATGCCCAGTAGCTCAGACGGGTCTGGTTGCAAATAGGAAGCTTTCTCGCCGCGCGGCAGCCACGGGGACGGGCAGCTCCTGGGACGGGGTCTGACTCCCTGGAAACGTAAGCACGTGCGGGTGGGCTCCGAGCGCATCTCTGCAGGGACCCTGGGCTCGCGTGCCGTGGCGGTGGGCAGGCGCCCCGAGCAGGGGGCGGCGGACGCCCCCCGAGCCCCGCGCCCGGCTCTCGCGCCCCCCTCCCCCCCGCTCGGGAGAGCGGGATCTGGCGCCTGGGGGCGGGGTGGCGGAGAAAGGCCGGGAAGCAGGCGGAGGGCGGGACGGGCGAGCAGGCGGCCAATGGGCGCCGCTCCTCCGCCTCCTCCTCAAGCCCCGCTGATATTTTGCACTGAGCCCGGGGCGCCGGGTGTTAGATCCGAGTCGGAGCCTGGCTGCTCGGCACAGCGCTGGGATCCGCATCCTGCTCGAGGTCTCCAAGCCCAAGAAGCCGGAGTCTCCTCTTAAATTAAAGGGCTGCACTTTGCTCTCTCTCCTCCGGGCTGTAGAAGGCTCGAAGATTTTTATCTAGCTCCAACAGAACTGCTGCTGTTCCCTCTTTTTTTTTTTTTTTTTTCCGTGAGAGTGTTTTTGGCTGCAATTGCATGAAATCCCAATGGTGTAGACCAGTGGCGATGGATCTAGGAGTTTACCAGCTGAGACATTTCTCGATTTCTTTCTTGTCGTCCTTGCTGGGGACGGAGAACGCCTCTGTGCGACTTGACAATAGGTAAATGTCGGCCGGGATCTTTTTTTTTTCCCTCCTCTAGCTGTAAAAATCACTTGCAAATATTGCAGGTGAAGAGTAACCAGGCTAATTCCTTTGTCCGTTGCCGAGAGATGACCGGTGACCGCGGCTGTTGCTTTTTGATAATGTTGAGAATAACTGTGTGGTGGCTGGGTCCAGCCCAGAGCTCTGGCTTTTCCAAAACCCACATTATGTAATTTAGCTCTTTTGTGGTTAACTAAAATACGGAAATGCCTGGATTATTTGCTAGGGAATAGCTGGTATTTTCTGGAGATTGGCACACTACCTAGGACCAACGAATATATTCAAAAATAACGCTTGGCAATGTCGCCTAATTGGGAGATCCTCTTAAAAGAAAAAAAACCTAGGATATATTTTCGATAAATTTCAGCTATCGATGATCTGTTTGCTTTCTTTTTCAGCTCCTCTGGTGCAAGCGTGGTAGCTATTGACAACAAAATCGAGCAAGCTATGGTATGTAACGCTTGAAAACTGTTTTGTCCTACATGTGGGCGCATTGCACACGCACAAACAGGCTTGTCTTGGGGTGGAACCCCGGCGCCTCCCTTCACATCGGATGCCTTGGGTCGCCCCCTCGGCATCCGGGGGGCTCGAGGCCACACGCACTGGGAGAAAAGGGGGCTCTGGGGGTGTTAAAAGGTTCTCCCCCGGCTCTGCCCGTTCCTCGTTGCTGTGGATAGGCTAAGGGAAGCACCAGGCTCCGCGTCCCCTAGCGTGGGCCCAGAACACTTTTTTTTTTCTTAAGGGATGGGGCCGAAGCTGGACTCCTTTAAGGTTTTTCACTGGGAAGCCCTCCCTCCCGGGCGGTGCACAAACGGGACCCCCGGGTGACGCTGGCCCCTGCAACAATGGGGAAGGGTCGGGGGTCGGGGGCAAAGTTTCATGGTAAGCCTGCGCCTGGATTTCTCCTATTTTTATTTCCGCCTCGGCCATTCTTTGTTATTGGAGCAGCGCCTGTAGCTCTTCTCACGGGATTCTCTGCCCACTGTTGCTAGGCAAACTCCGAACCTTTAATTCGGAGCTATAAATAACTCGGGCTCCCATTGGCCGCGACTGCTGCCCAGGTTTCTGTGATGTCAGCTTAATCGCGGAGGGGGGTGGTGTGGGGAGGAGCGGGCTGGGGTGGAGGGAAGAAAATGCGGCAACATGCTCGGTAGGAACTGGCTGCAGCCGGTGCTGAGGGAGGCGGCGCCGGAGGCCGTGGGGGCGGGGAGGAGGCCACCGGCGCCTGGCGGGCCTGGACACCCCGGGCCGGGCAGGCCGAGGGGGCGCGGGGCGCATCTCGGGCAGCAGGGACACCCCCCGCCCTGTGCACTGCTGGCTAAAGGGCTGCAGAGGAGTCCCAGACTTGTAAAAAGGCACGATCCCTGGCACTGAAAGCACCGTACGGTTAGGGCGTGCTGGAATGCTTTGTAACAAACTGTAAAAGGTCCACATATCTGCATGCCTGGGGGAAGATCATGGCAGCGTTGGAAACGCCCCAGCGGAGGAACCGGCCGCTTCACCAGCTTTGCTTTTCTCTGCTCCTTCTTCAGGATCTGGTGAAAAGCCATTTGATGTATGCGGTTCGAGAGGAAGTGGAGGTCCTGAAGGAGCAGATCAAAGAACTCATAGAGAAGAACTCCCAGCTGGAGCAGGAGAATAACCTGCTGAAGACACTGGCCAGCCCCGAGCAGCTCGCCCAGTTTCAGGCCCAGCTGCAGACAGGGTCGCCGCCGGCCACCACGCAGCCCCAGGGCAGCACGCAGCCGCCTGCGCAGCCGGCGTCTCAGGGCTCGGGACCGACCGCCTAGCCGCCTGGGCCCACCCGCGCAGAACTGGCTGCTGCTGTCGGAACTGAACAGACCGCAGAAGATGTGCTAGGGAGCGTCCGCCTCCACAGTCGCCCATTTCATTGCTCGCGGCAAAAAGAGACGTGAGACTGACATGCCATTCTCTCTTTTTCCCAGTATTAAACACTCATATGCTTTCGGCTTGAAGACATGTCCTAGTTGGGTGAATTACAGGTTAACCAGAGAATTAGCATGGATGTGCCGGGCATCCCCCAGGCAGCTTGGCAGATCTCGGAGAAGTAGTTTAGGTCGCGTGCTGCGGAACCGAGCCGAGCAGGGTGCCTTGCAACCCTTCCCCACCCCTCACCCCCTGCTCCGGGAGCCTCTCTCCCATCTGCACATGTAGGGTTCTCCATGGGGTCGCCTAGCACTGGCGCTTCCCACCAGACTATCCTCTCCTCCCCAGGAGGCAATCCAGGGAGGCTCAAGACTAAGCCAAGGGGGGCGCAGAGTGCATTGCACCAACAGACAACCGTCACCCGAGTCCATACAAAACAATAGTACTGTGCCTCTACTGAAACAGCAGATGACGCAAAACTATTCGAGTGACAAAAAAGCAAACGGTGACAGGTAGCTGGGGCCTAGGCAATCTTCCCACGAAGGTTGTTTTGCTTATTGTACATTTGTGTATGTAGTGTAACTATTTTGTACCATAGAGAACTGTAACTACTATTTAGGTTGTACAGATTGCCGTTTAGGAGCTTCGTTGGCTGTCTTGCAGAGGTGTGGATCGTCTTTTATAGAGAAATGGACATAGAAACTGCTCCACCACAAAAGCCACATCCAGAAATTTGACAGATTTGGCCCAGTCACTTTGTGTGTACGCTGAAGTCTGCTGAAGATCCTCAAGTAAATCCTGTTCCCTGTCTTTGGGTTGAGATCAGTTCTAGCTAGTGAGAGGGGTTCCCCTAGGGGTTCTGCATATTACCTGTATAGTAGTTCTATGCATATGTTTCTGTGCATGTTCTCTACACAGTTGTGAGGTGTCACTGTATTTAACTGTTGCACTTGTCAACTTTCAATAAAGCATATAAAAATGTTGATAAACAAGTGTTGCCCTATTACAGTGTTAACGGAACTGCTGTTTCTCCACGACCCTTTCCAGGCAGAATTAAAATCATTGGACTTGCTAAAATTCTGAAGGGGGAATGATTTGAAATCCGACTTTGCGTTATTTAGCTGGTTAGGGAGAGACAATCTTAGGTCACTTAAAGTCCTCTGGGAGACCATAGGTTGTTAGAGAATCCCAACATCCCTTAGGATTTATGAAGAAGACGTGGAGATGTTAACCTCAGTGTTTTTCGAGCTGAGAAGGAAATGTCTTCCCAGTGTATAATCCCAATAAGCAATGCTGGGATCAAAAGCTGAAAGTCAGAAAAGCTGATTCCCATTTGCCTGACTCGGCCACCGAGCACTGGGACGTCTTTCCCAGTACAGAGGGAATGTCCAGCTCCTGGATTGGTTTGTTTGGTCTGAGCAAAAAGGCAAAGTGATTCCAGTCATTTCTTGTACTGCCTCTGAGGTGGAAGTCCCTCCCAGCTGAAAGGATCAAGATGGAATCCCAAAGCGAGGGGGCACCTGAGAGGGTCCACTTGGCTGCAGGAATGGGGGTCAGCAAGCCAGTGAACAGGGTGGCCTTAGCTTTGTAGTCTGGCCCCAGGCCCCAGCCCACTGCGGGGATTCACTGGTGCATGCCCAGCTCTAAGGCTTGCTTACGGCCTGGCAGGACCAGGTCCGGACTTTGGGGCTCTTTCCCTTCTCCCTGTGTAGGGCCGGTGGGAAGGCAATAGGAGGATGGGATTTCAGAGCTGCTGCGGAAGGATGGTTGGAGGCTGAGCTTGCGTGGGGAAGCAGCGATGTGGGCTTCCTGTTCAGCTGTCACAGGCTGCTGACACATGCCATTAAGAAGTTTTGGCTAATTGGGCAAGAACTTGAAAAAGTTTCATATTAGTTCGAAGATTATATAAATTTGGTTCAGGGGACTCTTACATGTCTGGTAATTAAAATGTTTCCTTTAAAAACAGAACTACAGTGAGCAGAAATCCCCAGTCATTTCCTCTTTTACAGTTTTGATGTCGCTCCCTTACACAGTAAGAAGCAACCATGGAAATCTTGAAAACCATCTCATGCCAGCATATTATTAAGATAATGGAGAACTTTCTTCTCTCGTATTTAGTGGAAGTCAGGGTCCTGAGACATTAGCAGGTGAATTTTGCAGATGAAATGTAAGTGAATGACTGAAATCCAAAGATGCTTTTTTTGGGGGAAAAAAAAATACATGTTCTTTGTTTTAGTAATTGCTAAATAGACTTTAAGTGGTTATCTTGTATTTAAGCATATGGAATGCAATTTTAAAAGGCATCTGCCATGTGTACATGGATATGCTTAGGCTGTGTTGACCTGTGGGTTATTACATAAATGATTATATCGCACTTACGTTCTCTGGAGCGGGAAAGAGGTTTTTGTTTAATGGGGAATGGAATATTGTACCAGGGCTGGGTGTTCATGACGTCAGTTACGGCAGCCACTGCTCACTGAAGGAGAGACAGAAGGAATTTTACATGATTTTGATGAATTCTGCTTCAAATTCACAGTGTTTATAAGTCAGTAGTTCTGTGCTTGCTTGGATATCATAAAAGTAAGAGAAAAAAGTCTATTTGATTATATGCATTGCTAGTATCAGTTTCAAGTTTCCATTAAAAAAAATGTGTGAAAACTGATTGCAGGTGGAATTACAAATAAACACGAATTCCAACACAGGCAAGACTTGGCCCTTTGTGTAAAACAAAAAGGGCCCAATCACATGACTGCTTTCACAGGTCAACTTCAAAGCTGCGTGGACAGCAGTAAAGGCATGATGGCTGGAGACAAATGCAGGATACTTGCGCCTCCATCTTTTGAAAATGGAGGAAGATGCCCTTTCAGTCAGGCTGGGAAGCCCCTGGGCTGGTGTGTGGGAGAAGGGACCCCCTGAGGCTCAGCCTCAGGCTGTAGGCCTGGTCCCTCAGCACTGACTCACCCTTGGGCGAGGGATGAGACCTCCCCAAGCTGCCTTCTCTGTTCATGAGATTGCACCTGCTCACAGAGGTTCTGTCTTGCTATGGATGCTCTAACCCTCTTTTCTTCACTGTGACTTCTGTTCCTCCACCTGGAGGGGGGGGGGGCGGGAAGAGGTGATTCTGTTTGTTCATGTAACTTCTTGAACTTAACTGAATTTAGGTGTTAGACATCGCTGCATCTGGTCCTAGCCGAATGATATGGGGTAGGTTGTTCGTGCCTGCCCTGGAGCCAGGCTTTGCCCGTGGGGGGTTGTTGAGGCTGTTACTGCACGGCAACACACACAGAGCCAGCTTTGTGTGTGTGCCAGGAGGATCAGCCATGATTGGTACTTCTGAATCCTTCATCCTGTAGTTTTCATAGGAATAGAGTTGTGGCGGCTTTGTTTGCTAATAGCTTCTGACTTAGCATTTGATGATGTGTGCGTTTAAGATTTGTTCAAAACACAGAGTGATAGAAAGAGGGGTTCCATCTGCTGGTTCACAACCTGAATGGCCACAAAGGGCCAGGAATGCTCCAGGCCAAAGCCGGGATCCTAGAGCTCCATCCGGGTCTCCCACAGCGGGGCAAGTACCTAGGTACCTGGACCGTCTGGTGCTATCCCAGGCGCGTTGGCTGGGAGCTGGTTTGGACTGCATCACAGTGCAAGCCCCTTGTAATGGCTATTTAAACCACTGTGAAAAGGTATACAGAAAAAAATACACTATAGAATATGGATACAAATGTATGGTTTCTTCTGCACCTAAGAAATGATACCAAAAGGCAGCTCGTTTCGTTGATGTTAGAGGATTGGGTGGGAATTGATTGTTTTGAAAGTAGTATCGTGGCAGCCAATAAGAAGTCCCAGGTGGAAGTGAGCACATCAAATTAATGATTTCATCATGGAAAAAGCCCTGGATGGCTGACAGTGTTATAACACTAGCCAGGCTTGGAAACACAGGTATTGACCATTGGGCTTAGTCAACTGCCATTAGAAGGTTCAGTGGCCATTGAAAAGTATGCAAGGTGGGTGTTTGGGACACCACACCTTTTGGCTATATCCAAGGCTCCTTGAGTGGGCGAGGGTCAGAAAGAGGTATTGGAGCGTGTGTATCCCACCTGAAGAGAACAGCAGCCATTCGGATCCACCCAGCTGTGTCTTAGGGGAATTCAGACCCCCCTGGTGGCTATATTCTTCAGGGTTCTGTCAGGAAAGTCCCAACCTTTGGAGACTGAGGACAACAGCATACATGAGAAAATGACCTGGTGCCCAAACCCGAATGTTCATACCCTACTACTCTGTCTCAGGAACTACACTCCAGCCACAGTGCCAGTTCACCTTGACGGCTCAAATCAAACCAAGTTTAAAAAAAAAAAAAAAAAACTGCTTTTCAGTTAGAACAAAAGAGTGCAGCTGTCTGGCAAGTGGTGTGTGTTAACTGATTTTTGAGAACCTTCTATGTGCCAAAGATAACACAGAAAGGGAGCAAGCTACAGTCCCTGTCCCCTGCACTGCCGATGGAGCTGTCTTTAGGACATCGTGGAGCAGCTTTGTTCTCTGGCCATGTCTGCCCTCTGTGGATATGTTATTTTGAGTCATTCCTGTGCAGGCCCACAGAGGCATGCTCAGGCCAAGGTGTTTCTGATGGAACTCTGAAGAAATGGCAAGTGGGTAGCATTGCTTCCCAGGGCTGTACCCTCTACCTATCAGTACACTGTTGGGTGACGTAGTGAGAGACCACGTTTACAGAAGTGTGGATTAGGAGCTCAAATCACACATGCCCCATATTTCCAGAGACAGGCATTTCAGGTGGAAGATCCTGTGTTGTCATGTGCCCAGTCCATCCAATTCGGGCTGCAATCCTTGTAGATTGAGAGATGGAGGGAGTGTAAGACTCAGCATCCTCTACATACGGAGCAAGAGCACCCACCATGCAAACTTCCCGGATGACCAACTCATCGTGCTTGTCTGTGACTGAGGGTGTTCCCAGGATGTGACACTATGCAGTGCTAACACCAACGAAGTCCGGGCAAAAAGAGACACACAGATCGCCTGAATCCCATTTGCTCTTCTATTTAGGTACCTGGCTAAATTTCACCTCCCATTCCCCCTTGTACTTCTGTGTGACCATGGGATTCTGGTGTAGCCAAAATGACCCAATCCGTAAGGCAGTTGTCCTCCGTGGTCTGCCATGCTCTTTTTTCATCTTTCACCAGTGGGCTGAAGAAGACCTGGTGGCCTTAGAGGCGACAGAGACCTTGTTAGCCTTGAACCCCCACAGGACTGACATTGAGCACCGTTTCCCGTGAATCCGGAAGCAGGTGGCAACGCGCCGTGAATAGGGAGTGTTGCAGCCATTGGCCATGTCGGACAGTCCTGCTTCAGTGGCCAGCTTTAACTGAGTGATGCGTTGCTGTCGAAAACTGAACTGCATGGCATTTGTCACCCTTGAGTTGTGGCGTGATGAAGCCAGCTAAAGACAGTCAGAGAGACCGAGATACCCAAACATGGTGGATGAAAAGATGCCTGTGTGATAGTGTGAAAGGCTTGGGCACGTCCTGCTGGGAGCAGCTGGGAACTTGACGAGCTCTTAGGGCCTCAGCTTCGCTGGCCGTGCTGCTGCCAAGGAGGGTGGATTCAAGGGAGAACATGTCCTTGTGTGAGTAGGGGGCACTAGCCCCATCCCGACTGTTGCTGTAGTTGAAGAAAGAACCAGCAGATGGGAACTCTCATGCCAGCATACGTGTGGCTCTGTGTGTATTAAACGAAGCATAGTGAAGCTGCTGAAATCTGGGCTTCTCTGGAGTTGGCATGGGCTATTGCTTCTAAACCCCAAAGCATTGGAAGCCAGAACAAAGACTTCCGCAAGGGTTTCCTAAAGCTTCTTAGTTACCCAAAGAGCTTCCTGCAAAGATTGGACAGAAGGTATGGGTGCCATTCATTCCCAGTGACCGTCCCGGTGGTCACCGTCCTGCTGATACACATGGGACCCTCCCATCTCACAATGAAT